TACTTTCAATCTCATATGAGAAATCTTCAGGAAGTTAAAATATCTGTGAATGTGTATGCAGTAACTCCATAAATTCAAAATAATTTTTACTGTTTTTTATAGCTTTCCAAATTCGAATTCGAAAGTTTTTAGCTATGAAAGGGAAGTAACTTTTGTAATTTTTTTATTTTAATATTTAAAAAATGAAAAAGATTTTTAGTTATAATATTTTAACTTAGTATTTTATATAAAACTTTGCTGCTACAAACATTTAAGAACTTTGTTGTTATACTCATAGTTGACTATTTTTGGCCACAATTCTCTTATATAAAGGGCTCACAGAATTTTAAGTTTTTGCTGATTATTATTTTGATGAAGTACTAATGTATTTTTGACTAAAAACTGTCTAAACTGGAGATGTGGACATGGGTGTTCCTTTAAATGTTCTGAGATTGAACTATGCTCATTCAAGTGAAACGTAAGCCGTCTCGTTAACGTTGTAATTGTAAAACCAACATTTTTATTAGAGATGCAATCTTTCAAGTGACATTTAAATTGATATACAATGTTGGTCTTTTGTAAGATGCTAGTTAACGGAAAAGAATTGTTTTGGATGACAATGTTAGTTGTATTAAATTTAGTGTAGTATATAATTAATTTTATATCTTACTTGGACCAGTGGTGGATATATTAGTGTTTATGAGTTTTTTTAGAATTTTTCTTCCTGCTTATTGTTGAGCCGTGAGGTCAGGACCAATAATATTGCTGATTCTTCTTTGAATCTTATCGAGGAGCTCCAAGAAAATAGTAGGAGCACTGGGCCACATATGACAGCAATATTTTACGTATGGACGAATAGTACACTTATAGATATGCAAGATAGGTTCCGAAGAGAAAAACTGTGTCGCTCAACACAGTGAACCGACTTCTTCGCAGCTGATCTGTCGATGGATTCAATGTAGTTCTTTCACCTTATGTCAGCTGAGATCATTAGCCCGAGAAGGTGCAATGTGTCACCTTCTTGGAGGCTAGCATAAGCCATGCTGACGGAAGACAGAGAGGGGTCTCTCAGGTGATTAATGGGGAGAAGTTTAGTTTTGGAGGCGGTAAAATTGACACGCCATCTTTTGCCCTAGTTAACGACGGTCTTCATGTCGTTTTGTACATCGGCTGCCATTTTGACCTTGTCTGACTGATTAGCCTTACTATTGGGGCAGAAGTAAATGGTAGCATCGTCAGCGTAGATGCCAAGTTGAGAGCTGGTGTCATCGGGAAGGTCGTAAATGAATATTAAAAACAGTGTAGGACCAAATATGGAGACACCCGCTTTAGTAGGACGGAGACGAGTGAATGTTCAGGACAACTTTCACTTCACGATTTGATAGGAACGACTGGATCAGCTGAAAAACCTGCCCGGAGATACCATAGTTTTTCAGCTTATGGAGAAGGCTTTCAAGATGTCCAATGTTACAGCCCAGGCATCACTGTTTTTATCTAAATCATGATAGACTCTTTCCGCAATTATCGTTAATACATCAGCAGTTAATCTGGAGAAACAAAAATCGTATTGCTTGTCTGAGAAAAGGCGCCGTGATGAAAGATGATGAACCAATTCAGTATTGATTAGGGCCTCTAGGAGTTTCTCAAAAAGAGGCAAAAAAGAAAGCTGATAGCTGGATGGGTGAGATGGTTCACCAGATTTCTTAAACCTGGGACAGCAGACCATAACTTCTAGCAAGCAGGAAAGCAGGACGCAGTGAGGCATTTATTATAAAGTTTAGAGAGAACGGAAGCTAGTTCGGGAGCACAGTTCTTGATAATTATAACAGGAATATCATCGGAAAAATTCATTATTGATAATAGCCTTGAGATTTTTGGTTGACATTCGGATTCTTTCTTTTAACCTTTGAGTCAAACAAGGATCCACATTCAACATGTTATCGATTAATTCTTTCGTCCCAGTGATCTCTTTCTTCTTTATTCCTAGACATTTTTTTTTCTTATTTTCGACAAAATTATCTCTGTAAGCCTGACCTAGTTCGGTGATATTTTTAATGACTCTTGCAGTGGTGACCTTTGAAAAACTCATTATCTCTGAAATTTCCTTAGATTTTTTTTCACACCCGTTACTGTAGATAGTTCTTCTTTAGCAATTTTGACCTTGTTCTTTCATATGCGTTCAACCAATTGGAAAGTAGTGGAATAATCAACGACAAAAGCAACGTTTGATTTTAGAGCATCATTATTTGAAATACTCATTTTTATAGTAATGAATAACGGTTTCATTACGTTGAATAGGAGTATTTTTTTTATTTTGAATAAAGGTATATTTGTATTGAATAAAAAATTTTTTCTTTTGAATGAAGATACCTTTAATTTGAATAAAAGTATCTTTAATTTGAATAGAAGTCTCTGGTTTATTTAATAACCCTGTAGTCAAGATTAAATAGAGAGAATGCACCAGAACATAGCACATTAGTCTTTGTTACTATGGGATTCCGGAGCTGCAGATCAATCATGTTAACCAATGTTCACCGCTGAAAATGTCTTAAATGGGCACATGAGCGTCGAAACTGAACATTTTATCAGTGGATTGATTGACTGTTTTAATTTTTACTACGTAACAACTCTTTTTTAGTTATTAAAGTCGAAACGTTTTGGATTGTAATTTCTGAGACTAAAAATAATTTTTCAGATACAAGTCCTACTATAGCTGGGAGGAAAAGATAAATCATACCTTTTCCCAAATATATTGCCGGTCGTTCCTATCAAATCGTGAAATAAAAGTTGTCCTAAATGGCCACTCGTCTACATCATTTCGTACTAACGCCTGTATTTCCCAGGGCTCCCTACTTGGTCCTACACCGTTTTTAATCTTCATTAATGACATCAGCTCTCAACTTCGCATACTGCATCCTGCTTTCCTGCTTGCTAGAAGTTATCGTCTGCTGTCCCAGGTTTAAGAAATCTGGGGAACCATTGCACCCATCCAGCTATCAGCTTTCTTTTTTGCCTCTTTTTGGGGAACTCCTAGAGGCCCTAATCAATACTGAATTGGTTCATCATCTCTCATCACGGCGCCTTTTCTCAGACAAGCAATACGATTTTTGTTTCTCCAGATTAACTGCTGATGTATTAACGATAATTGCGGAAAGAGTCTATTATGATTTAGATAAAAAAATGATGCCTGGGCTGTAACATTGGACATCTTGAAAGCCTTCTCCATAAGCTGAAAAACTATGGTATCTCCGGGCAGGTTTTTCAGCTGATCCAGTCGTTCCTATCAAATCGTGAAGTGAAAGTTGTCCTGAACATTCATTCGTCTCCGTCCTACTAACGCGGGTGTCTCCATATTTGGTCCTACACTGTTTTTAATATTCATTTACGACCTTCCCGATGACACCAGCTCTCAACTTGGCATCTACGCTGACGATGCTACCATTTACTTCTGCCCCAATAGTAAGGCTAATCAGTCAGACAAGGTCAAAATGGCAGCCGGTGTACAAAACGACATAAAGACTGTCGTTAACTAGGGCAAAAGATGGCTTGTCAATTTTACCGCCTCCAAAACTAAACTTCTCCCCATTAATCACCTGAGAGACCCCTCTCTGTCTTCCGTCAGCATGGCTTATGCTAGCCTCCAAGAAAGTGACACATTGCACCTTCTCGGGTTAACGTTCTCAGCTGACATGAGGTGAAAGAACTACATTGAATCCATCGACAGATCAGCTGCGAAGAAAGTCTGTTCACTGTGTCGAAGAAGACAGTTTTTCTCTCCAGAATCTATCTTGCATATCTATGCCTACCATTCGTCCATACGTAGAATATTGCTGCCACATGTGGTCCGGCGCCCCTGCTGTTTTCCTGGAGCTCCTTGATAAGATCCAAAGAAAAATCAGCAATATTATTGGTCCTGATATCGCAGCTCGGCTTCAGTCATCTTCCCGAGATACTGATTAAAAAAAGAAGAAAAGTTGATGTAAATAATCAGACTGGCATTTGAACTCGGACTCTCTGATTTCAAATTCTGATGTGTTATTCAATACACCACTCGCACATCCTGTATTAGTGGAAGATGGTCACCTGCACTGGTGAGTCTACTGAGTAAGGTGAGTACGTGTTGGTCGTTATCCTTAGGAAAGTATGTTACATGGATGCACTTTGGGAAAATAACAGGCTGGCGGAGGTGGTGTGATTACTTAAGCAACTTTCTACTGGGAACATGGCTGTCTCAAGGTACTGGCAACTCGGGCAGTCGCCTGGAGCGCCATCAACACCGAGGGCGCCACCATGCCTCCATGTCATGTGTTTGGGATCTTTCAAAACTAAAGGTTATAAAAACATACTTGAAGTCATCTATGACTCAAGACAGATTAAATTCTTTGGCTATTTTGTCAGTAGAAAAGGATCTTGTAAAGAAGATAGGAATAGAAAGTGCCATGAAAGAATTTGCAGATCTAAAGGTGAGAAAAATGTTTTACGTATGATAATGAATGCTTTCTTTAGCTTGTATTAAGTTGTATATTGTAAGAAACCTGTTATTCTACATTTTCAGTTTTACTCCTTGAGAAAATTTTAAAAATTATATTTGTAAGGGCGCCAGAGTTCAGCTTGCCTGGGGAGCCAACAACCCTAGGCCCGTCACTTGCTGGGAAATACTGGGTGACATCATTCATTTGTAAAAGTCTTCTATGATGAACAATTACCTTCTGCCACACAGCAAGATTTGTGTGAAAATACTTTCAGGGGCACGAAAAAGAATCCCTGCGTTGTATTTGACACCAAAGTTATTAAATCTCAATACTACTGAAAACATATAGGAACTGTGATCAATAATTTTGGTGTGAACATCCTCCACCATATAACTTTCAGCAGTTAAAGAACTTGTTAATATTCTGGCATCAGATCCTAAAGAAAACTTTTGGGGTTTCGTAGAATTCATGTCTGATCGAGTAAAATATGTTTTGTGGGGACATGGTGAATGACACATTATTAAACAAGTGGTCAATATTTGGGTCTACCACTAATAGATAGATAGATAGGTAGATAGACAGATATGAAAAACTGAGATAGATATGAAAAAAAGATTTATATATATATATATATATATATATATATATATATAAATCAATTTTTTCATATATATATATATATATATATATATAGAGAGAGAGAGAGAGAGATAAAAACTGATATTTATATACAGATAGATGTGAAAACTAATATATATATATATATATATATATATATATAGAGAGAGAGAGAGAGAGAGAGAGAGATATAAAAACTGATATTTATATACAGATAGATGTGAAAAACTAATATATATATATATATATATATATATATATATATATATATATATATATAGAGAGAGAGAGAGAGAGAGAGAGAGAGAGAGAGAGATAGATATAAAAATGATATTTATATATATAGATAGATGTGAAAAACTGATATATATAGATAGATAGATAGATAGATAGATAGATAGATAGATAGATAGATAGATGCATGCAATTCGATTTCGAGCAACGTTATCATTTAATCCATCTTGAAATATGGGCAGTGCGAAAGTCACTTTTTAGTCTACGGACTTACATTGTCTTGAGCAGATGTGGTAACGTTGGGCGTCTTTTGCAGTAGTTAGTAAGCTAGATAGATAAACCTTACCAAATGTTCCGGCCAAGAATTTTTTTAAACACACACACACACGCACGCACACACACAACTGCATAAATCCAAATTCAGTGCATACTTCGGTTACTCTCACACAATTATTCGACATAATTCTGTTGACTTATTTCAACAAGTAACATTTAAATGACATTCTTGATTTCTCGCTACATCATTTTTTTTTTGGCGGCGAAACGCTGCTGTCCTGTCTTAATGGCGACACAAAATAATAATTAGAATGACGGATGCTTATTGGTTGTGTAGGATAATCACGTGATCCAGTGTGATGAGAAATTAAAAGTTATTCGTAATTCACTTCACTCTGTGTGCTTTCTTTAGATTAAAAAAATGGGGTTATTTAATGAAACAGGAAGTACGCTCAGTCTAGTGACAACTTTCTCAAGTTGAGAAAAAAAAACTGTAAAATTTTACTTACAGATACATAAATATACATATTATAACATAAAAAACGTAAATTTTGATTTGTTACTGTTATTAGGTTAATATTTTTTCCAAAATGTCTTCATTGTTTTATTTTAAGAAAAAATTTTAACAAACAGATTTAGTTTCTATTCTAATTGCTAGAACTTAAACATTTTTGTTTCTGGCATTATGTAACTTTTTTTTTTCTTTATTGTCTTAAAAATAAACACACTATCTTTCACGACAGAGAAAGGATTTTTAAAATTGTAACTTTTAAAAATTTAAAATATATTTTAAGCTCTGTTCAGGCACGGCTCCACGAAATAAAATGTTGGTGCCTGAGTTAGATGTTAAGTTTGAAAGATTCCTTATTCTCTATTCCTTTAACCTCATCCAATATAGTGATGTGGGACGTAGAGGCTAAAATGAACAGTTGATTTACCCACACCGAAGGATGATAGTATGGAGGAAATACACGGGTAATTTTAATAAAACAAGACAAGTAATTTATTCACGAATTTACACGCTTGAAGTAGTTTCAGTAGCTCGTTTCAGGAAAATAATTCAGAATACTTAAAGTCCGTAGTTTTAACGTATTGTCACGAAGAGGAAATGTTCATATAACAGATTAAACGATCTGGCACATAATAATATAAAAAAATGTTTAAGACAAAGGTAAGAGAGTTTGTTGATCACCAAAGGGCTATATGGTTGCATACATTCAAAAGTAGACGAAGAGTGATAGTTTGAAATACTTAGTTTTCTTGGATTGTTGAGAGAAAAGTTTTGATGTGCCGCGTGCATGTTAGAGGTCGATAGTATAAATGGCAAGTAATTTTGCACTGACGAGTACTTCAACGCTGGTTACGAGGAACTGAAACGAAACTTTTCACATGATTTCACACACTATTTTGTCCGATTAATTTCATTTTTCTCCTTGTTTTATATATACAGTGTAACCCGGATATAAGAGAGTTGTCGGGACCGGAGAAGAAGTCTCTTATATCCGGGTTTCTCTTATATCCGGGTTTGGTCTATTTTATATACATTAACACAGGCTCTAATTTGGAAGCAGAGAAAATCTCTCTTATATCCGGGTTTCTCTTATATCCGGGTCTCTTATATCCGGGTTACACTGTATAAAAAAATTCGCGCAGGAACGCTACTTTCTTTTCTTCTTCTTGGCTGACCGTCTAATTTCTGTGGAGGCAAGGTTTTTATTGGTCCAAAACAATTTCACATGGATTCGCGAATTCTTTTCCTTCTCAGCTCACCGGTCAATTTCTGGCCCCAAACAATTTCACATAAGCTCGCGAATTACTTTTCTTCTTCGGTGGGTAAAGAGAGTTATTATTATTTTCCATTCACTGAACCTCTTATCAGATGCACATTTTTAAATGTATTATCCTACTTTAAACAGTTTTGTTTTAGTTTAAACGTCCATTTTTATGTTTTTTGTACTTATTTTCTGAAATGTCACCTGTTGCATGGCTCCTTCATTTCTACCCCAGTATATCCCAGCTCTTCTTTGTATACTGTCCACGTGGATAAAGAAAAAAAAATAGAACACTGGTTTCGTGCGGGAACTCATCTGATTGGTTGACTACGATTATTTTACCCGTAGAAAATTGGATGCGTGGAGCCACCGACTCAAAGACGCGTTTTGTGATTTGACACTTCCGTCGCCGACCTGTTTACTTCGGAGTCCAGAAAATGTAGGAGATACGACATACCTATGATTTTTACTGTAGATAAAAGACACAGAAAGGAAACTGCAATAAATCCTACAGAAGGTATTAATGGAAAGCGAGAAGAAAGAACTAGACATCAATTACAAGAAGACAGAATGAATCGCTGTCAGCAAAATGAACAACCCAACATGCAAATTACAAATTGGAAATATCAAAATCAAACAAGCACAACAATTTAAATATATGGAAAGTGTTTTAAGAGAAGACAGAAAGTGTCACACTGAAATCTGAAGGCGCTTTGGAATAGGCAAATAAGCTTTCTAAAAGCCAAGAAAAGAATTAAGAAACAGTAAAATCAGTGTTGTATCGTCGAGGTGAATGATACACAGAGAAGAATGAGTGCTTAAAATATTTATTACAAAACAATTAACAAAACAACTTACAAGGAATAGAGGAGGGTCAAATGTTGTATAGCCAAACGAAGTAAGATCAGTCCGAATATTAATCAGCTTATTAATCAACTGTTGAAATCCTTAATAGTAGACTATTTAATGCTATAAGCCAGGCCATTTGGCAGAGTGCTGAAAGAGTTCTAGCTACTCTACAACAATTAGAAACAAAGAAAAGAGTACTGAATGGTTACTTAATAACAGTCCTACTATATGGCAGTGAATGCTTGGTAATCTCCTCACAGATGAAAAAGAGACTTAAAGCAACAGAAATGTAGTTCTATTCTGCTCAGAATATCATGGACGGAAGATATGGGCAACGATAAAATTCTATCGAAAATGGAAACAAAAACGTAACTTATACTTAACATCAGAAAGAGGTGGTTGAAATGTCTTTTTGTCACTTATCAAGCAGCTCTTCGATAAAATTTTGCAGGTATTCATATGAAACAGTTTTCAACGAACTCTTGAATTTGAATTTCATTAGTGAAAGTTTTCCCTATCTTGTCTTGCAACGATCTAAAACGTAATAACCGGTTGATGTAAAGTCAGATAAATATGGTGAGGTAGAACAGAACAATTTTTTTTTTTTTTTTTTGTTATTCTTGCTGCATGCGGCCTTGTGTTGTCATGGATGAAATCAATTATCCTATTGGCAAACGCAAATTTTTATGGACGCGTTGCTGCTACTAGACGTGTGCATTTAGTATTTCAATGCGTTTTAAGAACTCTAAATTTCATTAGAAACAAAAGAAAGAGTACTGAACTGTTACGTAATATTAGTCCTTCTGTATGGCATTGAATGCGGGACGAACTCCTCATGGCTGAAGAAAAGGCAAAGAAACAGAAATACGATTATACAGAAGGCAGTTGAAACATGTTAAATTTATAAATATTTCCTTTTTCGTCCTCATTCCATAATTTTGTTGGATTTTTATTCCAGTTTACACATACGAACACAAATATATATATATATATATATATATATATATATATATATATATATATATATGAGATAACGATATATACATTTTATATAGGGGAAAGATGTATGACAAAGTGGGAAAAAGATTTCGTGTAATGTATTTCGTTCGTTAGGAATTCCTCGAACTAAGTTTATGCTTACGTTGATGCGACTGTACATGTGCACGAACGAGCGACGCTGGGAATTTCAGATTCGACGCTGATTTATATATACATATATGTGTGTGTGTATGTCTGTGTGTATGTCTGTGTGTATGTCTGTGTGTGTGTGTGTGAATTAGGCATAAAATCTAGATGATTTCATTTAGATTTTTTTTTTGTGTTTGTGTTTCCATCACTTTTGTGATCATAGAAGATCTGCCAAGAATGGCGAAACGTTGTAAGAACCTGGACGCAAATTTATTGTGGTTGGTGTAGCGATTAAAGCACTTTCTAAACATTTTCGTGTTATTGAATTGTTTTCTTTTTTAATTAGAGTAGCATTTGTTATATAAAAATTGTGGTCAGTCTCGCTACGGTGAGCAACTAATGAATTTAATGTATTGTTTTGTAAAAGATCCCTTTTGTGTTCATCTAATATTTAAATTCCTTGAGGTTTCTGAAATGTATTCTTTGTGACAATTATTACAGGTAAGAGGTAAATTTCTCCTTCAAGTTTTAGCTTATTGTTTTGTTTTGTATTAAGACTTTTTGTTTTAGGCGTAGTTGTGACAAATTTTTATGTTGAGATTAGATAAATTCTTTTCAATTGTTGTTGTGGTAAAGTTAATGGGTAGATCAGTATATTTTTTTGATTCGTTGAGTTTGTCAGAAAGGGCTGTTTTTTTATTTTTAAATAGAAAAAAAAATTAAAAATTCTATTTTTTTTCTGAGCTTTTTGTTTCCTACTGAATATGAAATAGGGTAATGGAGGGTTTTGAAAATATTTTCAATGTGTTTCTGCACTTCGTGTAAATATTGAGGGCTGCAAATTCTGAGTGCTCTTAAAGAGAATGCGATGATTATTCCGGATTTTATTTTTATTGTTATGATGGGAATAGAAATTTATCAGATCCTTTTTATTAGGTTGTTATTTAAGGGATAGTAAACAAATCCACAAAAACACCTTAGTCCCCTTCATCATTCTCCATTAAGCGCAGTGCAGCGCATCTTTCCCGTTTTAAAACAGTTTGTAAAGTTCCTTTTTGTAATTACTACCAGCTGCAACACTGTTATGCGCATATCACTGAATTCTTGATAGTCTGAACGTAGCAATAAAAACAGGATGAAAGAAATGCAAGTCGAAATATAATAATAATAATAATAATAATAATAATAAATAATAATAATAATAATGATAAATTGATCATCTTGTAGCAGGTTGTACGGTGTTGGCACCCACTGAATATAAAACCCGACATGACAGAGTGGGCCAATATCTGCACTGGAAAATCTGTAACTTCTACGGGAAGAAAACTGAAAGGAAATGGTATGAACACCACCCAGACCCGGTTACGGAGATAGGACCTGTTACAATTCTATGGGACTACACAATACACACTGACAGAACAATCAAGGCCAACCGGCCAGATATTGTTATTAAAGATCACAAACAAAAACGATGCCTCCTTATTGATATGGCAGTCCCTGCTGACTGCAATGTATCTTTGAAGATATTCAAAAAGTTGTCAAAGTACAAGGACCTTGAAATAGAAATCTCGAAAATGTGGCATATGGGAACATCAACAATCCCTGTTGTAGTTGGAGCCCTAGGACTGGTTGGAAAAGATTGCAGTAGACTAATTGAAGGGATTCCTGGAAGTCCATGCCTCAAGGAGATACAAAAAATTGTTCTGACAAGTACAGCCCACACCTTACGAAGGGCTTTATCTATGTAATTTAATTCTTTTTTTTTTTTTTTGTCAGTGGAAAGTGTCATGACGCCATTTCTAACCTTAGGTCCCTGGGTGGGACCCAGAAAGAAATGTGTAAACGCCAGAAATCAAAGAAAATAAAAATAATAATAATAATAATGATAATAATTTATCCAGAGTTTATAAAAAAATAAAGTATGGAGTATAGCATCAACTCCTCACCACGCTAGATGTTGCTGCTGCGGATTCCATAGAAAGTCGATTTTTACGAGGTGACGCTACTTGTCCAGTTAGTTTTTAATTCAGTGTTATCTTTGTGGTTGACAACCAGATCTAGAGGACCCAGTCTGCCCTGCTATCAGTACCTACGCGGGGAAAGAAGAGATGAATTCTTACCTTTCGTAAGGGTATTTCTGAGAAAGCGAACGGAACAGCTTCAGCTGGAATTTTAACCCCCACACACTTGTCCCAATTTTCACGCCGATAACAGCTACACGACGCAGACATCCATCTCCCACTCCCTCCCCGTCTCTCTCTCTCTCTCTCTCTCTCTCTTTAAATAAATAAATAAATAAATTACAGAGATTATGTCTGTTAATTTTTAGCAAAATCCGTTCATACTCACGAATAACCTTCCTGTATTGATGTTAAAGGATGAGAGAAATGTGCTATAGCTGTTTAAATTTATTTTATTTTCATTTCCCAAGTACTTTCGATCTTTTTCCAAGATCATCTTCAGGGGTGCAAGTAATACAAAACTATATGTTGTTCATTAATATAAGTATTTATGCAAAGTTGTGAGTCGTTATCCATTACCGTAATTTTTTTCACTATGCTTTTAAATGCAAAACGGTTGACCAGACATGCCTAAAAGAGAATTTGCTGCCTAAATACACACACACACACACACACACACACACACACACACATATATATATATATATATATATATATTGTATATATATATTGTGCATGTGCGTGTGTGTAACACATTACCTGAATTACCCATCTCTATGTATTGAACTCTTCTGGTAACGTCATTGCCCATCTCTGTACAGTAGACTCTTCTTGAGATTGATTCAGAATCAAGATGGCAAGCGATTGGTCAGAATACCTTGTGGATGTGGAATTCTGGCAGTGATAGATTGCTTTTGTCTAAGTTTTGGTTATAAGAGCAACATAGCACAGAGTCGACAGACGGCCGCTCTTGACCGAGTCAATTCGCTGCCAGGTTTGTTGAATTCTATGCCTTCGGGCAGAGAGAAACCCAGACGAGTCTTTGCGTACGGGCAGTGTCTCGTCTCTGGAGGTAGACTAAGCCCGATCCCGTGTATGCGGGGTCTACGGGGAATTTTTGCCCGAGACTACGGACTCGGAATCACCCCACGTAAAAAAACCGGCTTTGTACCACATCCTGCCTTGCAAAAACTTTCGAGCGTGGGCATGCTTTCTGCACCTAGATTTCTTCGGGAGGCTAGCCCACGCCGCATGTGGCGGAATGCTAAGTCAACGGGTGGGCATGTATCTCCCTGCTCCGCGCCGCTACCTTCTAGAATCGATGCTACCTCGTCTTTCTTTCTCGTATAATAAAACGAATAAGAAAAAGAAACTGTCTTTCCTTGATACAGTCAAAGTATGAAGTGGCGTTAGGTTCTAACACGGAGCAAAACATCATGTCAGAGAAATAGACATTTATATATTGAATTTAATGAATACAATTCCATTATTATTCAATGGTACATTATTTACATTATTCGGACTATTGTCCTCATCTTTGTCGCCATATTTATTACAACGTTTCGGCCGTTTTACGCTCCGGCCTTCTTCAGGTGGTTGGAATGTCGAACTGAACCCTTTATTTCGCTCACTGGGGTAGACTGTTCTAGTTCCAGGTGTCCTCAAGGACACATGGCACAATGGATAACGGCGTTGGTTAGATCCAGTGACAGAACCCAAAGAGTGCGAGTTCAATACCCGGTTAAGGCAGTGGAGAACTTTCAGAGTGAAAATTAACAGGAGATAACTGATAACTGACATCCATTAAACACGTCACGTAGAACTAGAACAGTCTACCCCAGTGAGCGAAATAAAGGGTTCAGTTCGACATTCCAACCACCCGAAGAAGGCCGGAGCGTACAACGGCCGAAACGTTGTAATAAATATGGCGACAAAGATGAAGACAATAGTCCGAATAATGTAAATAATGTGCATAATACCTCATCTCAGAAATATAGACAGTTATTCAATGGTGAATAGAATATTAGTGTAATATTCAGAAAAACGTTGAACATCAACAAAAAATGTAGAGTAACAAGTGTTTGATGTTTTATAAGAACATAGCTACACTTCTAAACTTACGGCATAGTTAAACTAGTCTATAATATATACGTGCATATACTTATCCACAAACACAATTTCCTTGACAAATTAACCATATTAATGATAAAACTCCATCCTCCTATCTCTTTCGGTCTCCCTCCACCCTTTTTCTTTATCTAGCATTCTCTTTTCTCCTTTTAACTTTCTCTCTTTCTCTATCTTTATCCTTCTCTTTCTCTTTCCACCTCTCTTTCTCTGGCTTTCTCTTTCTTTGGCTTTCCCTTTCTCCTCTATTAAATTTCTCTTTCGTTTTCTATCTCTCTCTCTCTCTCTCTCTCTCTATCTATCTATCTATCTATCTATCTCCCATTTTTCTTTCTCTCCTCTTTTTCTCTTTCCCTGGCTTTCCCTCTCCCCCTTTTTTTACTTTCTCTCACTCACTTTCTATTCACCATCTGTCTCTCATTTTTTTCTTTCTCTTTCTGTAGCTTTCACTTTCTCCCCTTTCCATTCTCTCTCTCTCTCTCTCTCTCTCTCATTCGTTTCTCTTTATCTCTCTCTTCTCTCTATCCCTACCTTCTCTTACTTCCCTATTCACTTTCTCTCTTTCACTTTCTATCCACCTCTTTTTCCCATTTTCTCTCCCCACTTTTCTCCCTTTCTCATTTTTTCTCTTAATTTAGCTTTTTCTTCCTCTTCCACGTTCTCCCTTTGTCCCCCTCTCTTCGTCTTTCTGTGTATGTGTCTGTGTATATTTATGTGTGTCTATATGTGAATGGATGCAAAATGTTACAGAGAACTTAAAATTCCACCGACTTAATATGCCGATATTTTTTCAAGGACAGTCATTTTTCCCCAACTCCTACTTTTTATATAGAATGCTGTCTTGATCTTTTGAAATGTCATTTTTTAAATCAACAAGTCGATTTTTATCAACTAATGACAATCAATTCTTATTTTATTACACGCCACTTAATTTTATTTTCCGCTTTTTTTTTTAATGGACGTCATGGTCAAAAATTCGTTTACTTAATTGTCGTTGACTCTCCTTGACTTAAAAAGAAATTAATTTAAACAAATGTTAAACTACCGGAAAAGATGCCTGAAATCTTTCTTAGCGTTTTTTCTAGTGTTCATTATCGTCCATTTGTCGTTCTACAAAATATCCGCGCAGTTAAAATAGCGTTTGAATATTTATGCCAAAAATTATAGCTATTATCATTATTTCTTTTTCATTCTGATTTGAAATTTATCTCTGTTTTGAAAATTCCTTTGATAAAAACAAAAATGAATCAGCAAAAATATTGAGCTGTATCAAAAGTATTGTGTTTTATGTTATCTATATATAAAATTCTTTAACTTCCATTAGTCCGTCGGTTCTCACGCCCTCTAAAATAGCCATACACTGACCGATCCAAACCAAATTACTGGGGAGAAGTGCAAACAAGGGGATACAAAGTACTGTTGTTTTTTTTTTTATATAATGCGTAGCTTAGTACAATAAATTTTCATTAATTGTTTTCGAAAAAATAAAAGTTTTATATTTACTCCCACTAATATCAATTTAATGATTAAAATAACAAATACTTATTTAATAAAGATGCAATATTGTTTTTTGCATATCCCTACGCTTGCGAGAACTATAAATAAATCACAAGGACAAACGTTTCAAAGTTGGAATTTTCCTCCAGAAAGAAATGTTTACGCATGGCCAGTTGTATATTGCATGCTCAAGAGTAAGAAATTCTAAGAATTTATTCTTCGCTGTTAAAAAGGGAAAAAAAAAATTTTTCTTAAGAAATATTGTTTACCATGAAGTTCTATAAAATTAAATTAAAGAAATTACTAAAGCGCGAAGTAGGGTTTTTGCCAAAGTATTTTTCCAAACAAATCAGCTTATTCAAATTTCATCGATTGGTTTTCGAAATTGAACGAAACGTAGAGTTTGTAAATCTCGATAAAAATGTTAGCGATAACTTCAACAATACTAAATACCATGAGGACAAAAATTCTAGTTCTATGTATTTGCCATCTTTTAATGATCCCAGATCTTTTGAAAGAGTTCTCTTCTATGTTATTTCTTCTGTCTTGTGATTTAAAGTTTCATAATCAACACTTGATGATCGTGCACATCTGGGATTTATTTCAAGGATCAAATCACTGCCTTTAAAAAGTATAAACCTTTTGGGAGCAGTAAGATTAAAATATTATTTCATTTATTTTCCTTTCCGAAATTATACGACTTTGAAAACCTAAAAATAAAGCCTCAAATTTATCCAGATCTCAATAAGTGGACCCGCCGTCTAAAACAAAAAAGGCTTAAGACAGTTGATGAGGTTATGATATATAAGAATATTAATAATCTTTAGATGTGTAGATGAAATAAGCTAGTAGTTGTGGCAGTTAGCATTTTATTTTTAGTTAAAATAATCAAAAGGAAATGATAAGAAAATAATTTTTCTAGGCTCCAATAACGTGCGTGGTATGTTTGCTACGTGAATCTAACGTATTCATTATTAAAATGGTACCCCTCATGTTTCATGTCACGTGGCTTTGTATAATGACCCTACAATTCCTGATGATGCGATTTCTAGAGGCCCCACAATCCCTAAACTGGCAACGTTGGTTTTTTTTTTTTTCCGTTTCTTATATATACCGAGGCCGGGTGAGAACAAGTCTTTTAAGATAAGTAACGGCTGATATAATAACCTCCAAGAGAGTGAGCCATTGTGTCTTCTCGGACTAACATTTTCTGCTGACATGAAGTGGATTGATTATATTGAATCAATTGCTAGATCTACGGCTAGGAATTTTGCTTCACTGTATCGTGCTAGACAATTTTTCTCGTTATAATCTATCTTACACATATTTAAGTTTACCATTCGTCTATGCATTGAATATTGCTACCACATCTGGTCTAGTGCTTCTGCTATATATTTAGAGATTCTTGTTAAAATACGAAGAAGAATCTGCAATGTTATTGGTCCTGACCTGGTATCTAGGCTTCAGTCACTTTCCTACCGCCGTAATGTAATTTCTCTGTGCCTTTTCTATAAATACTTTCATAGGAATTGTTTTGAATTTTCCTCTATGGTATCTACACTTTATGAATTTAAGCGTAGTACTAGATTGGCTGCAAGTTTTCACCGTTTTACAGTTGAAATAGATAAAACTGTAACGGTAAGTTATATGCTAACAGTTTCTTTTCTCGCACTTCTCACTTGTGGGCTATCTTTCGGCTTTTTGCTTCAACTGTGATCTTCAAAAATATAAACGCAATGTCAATTGTTATCTTCTGTCTCATTAATTATTCTTCTTTTATGGTTTTCTCTCCTTAATAGAGTTTGTTTTCTCATATTATCCTATTCTCAGTAAACCCTTGCATCTTAGTGGCTTTATTGCCTAGCTCGAGTGAAATTATTTTTAAAAAAAAAAAAAAAAAAGGAAAAATGATGTCCAGGATTGTAAGTACGCTAAACTCGAATTTCGAATTTTTTTAAAGGAACCACCAGTCGAAGTAAAAACCAAGATCTATTCGCTTATTTCCGACCATATAGAATATTTTCCTTCTTTAAGAGGTACCTTCACTTTCTCGCTGAAAAAAAACAGCATAGCATGATGAAAAAAGGACCCAAACTTAATAAGAACAAAGTTTTATCGTCAAAATGTTTATGTTATTATTGGAAAGACCAAAATATTTTTTATTATTTTATTAATTTTTTTAAACCTTCGAACTTAAATTTCGAACGTGCTAGAATAGCACAGAGAAATTACATTACGGCGGTAGGAAAGTGACTGAAGCCTAGATACCAGGTCAGGACCAATAACATTGCAGATTCTTCTTCGTATTTTAATAAGAATCTCTAAATATATAGCAGAAGCACTAGACCAGATGTGGTAGCAATATTCAATGCATAGACGAATGGTAATCTTGTTTTTTTTTTTTTTGTCAGCGGTTAACATAATATTTACAATTAGTGCCTTTTTCCGGTGAAAAACTCACTGATTTTACTCTTGCAAAAATCAAATTATTGTCAGATTTTAATGAACTTTCAAAACTTATTCACAAGTGAATAAAATTATTTTTGAAATTACTTTTTTAGAAAATCTTGGTAAATATCCCAAATTAACTTAATTTCATTACATTTTGAGAAATTAAATTCTCAACCGAAAATTTTTTTAATTAATTAGAAGCAGGACTCCTTGGAAAATATAAATCATCAGTTTTTCATTCTACTACTCATTTTCCGAAAATCTACTCCGAATCGTAAAATAAAAACACACAATAAAACTGACATTATTTAATCAGAAAAGCTTTTAATTGCTTTTATAGATAAGATTTAAGAACAATTTTTTCGATGAATAATTTACAAGAACTGCTTTCATTTTTTTAAAAATTTTAATTATAATCATACTGATTATAAAACCCAGGTTGTGTGTGTGTGTGTCTGTTTCGTTTATATATTGGATCAGATTTCCTACATTTTTCAACTGATTTCAACAAAACTTCTCAGGACTACGTAAAATTACCTTGCGGTGGTTCTGACAGCACCAAAAATTTGAAAAACACAATTGTTTTTGCACGAAATCAATTTTAAAACACGATTAAGAGGCATCGCTGTCGAGAATGAAAGGGGGACAACTCATATCGAGTTATACTTATTATAAAACCCAGGTTGTTTGTGAGTGTGTGTCTGTGTTCGTTTATATATGGGATCGGATTTCCTACATTTTTCAACCGATTTCAACAAAACTTCACTTTTTTTTTGGCAGGTAGTGTTTCTTATTGTCTTGCACACTTTTTTCTTTATTTTTACATTCAGAATGCTTTAAAAATTCCATTTACAAGACAATTGTTTATAATAAAACTCTATTCAATCGGTAGACTCATAACGATTGAAAACAATGCTTTTGCTTGAGTTTGGGTTTGACCAATTCGTAAAAAACAAACAAACAAAAAACAAAACTAATTAAGACATGCGTGTACGTCAACCTTAAACAATAATCTTTGTCAATTTTATTTTTCCGTCTTTATGATGGTCGATACTTGATCTATCTCTTACTGTTACATCCCCGAGCAACGCCGGGATCTACTGTTAGTAATTTATAATATATAAATCTAAAATTCTGCATTACTTTTATCCTGTTAGGTGATATTGTTATTAAGTGAAAACTATATTTACAAATCAAAAATTGAAAAGCTTAATAAAAATGATTTTGCACCAAAATTTTTAAAATAACTTTTTTTATGTATATAAAATATTATGTAACGTTCCCATTTTTTTTAATATGGTCGACTATAGACGACATTTTCAGAAAATAAGAGCGATGACTAAAGTAAATTTAAAGCCAACATTCCTAAAATTAGATCAGATAATATTTTCCAACATTTTTAAGATTACTGAGCACTTAAAAATTATATAAAAAATGCGCTCACGTTATTTTCTTAAATTAAGTTTTACAGATAAAGTCTCCATAAAACAACAATCATTAAGACATCCCCTGTCAGCGCCTCGTCATTTACGGAAAACATGGCGATGTCGGTTAAAAATGCAGTTACTGTTTTGTTTTTAAAATACATTTCTATGCTATTTTAAACTTAAAGTAAATAATATCTTTTAAAACATCAGATTACTTATACTTTAAATCAGCTAATATTCCTCAAATAAAGTTTTAGAAAGTACATTTTATTTTTGGAAGATTTATTTATTACAGAGAATTACTTTGTGATGAAAGA